TATTCAACTCCACAAAAGTGACCAACGTTATCTTATTCATGCATTTACCAATATCAACATGTTCCATAAAGCATAAAGAGGTAGTAAAGTATTACCTCGATTTTCGTGCCATACTGCTCGACCATTAATTTCCATTTGAACGCCCTCGATCTTGAAATCAACTTCCAATAATTCCTCAGATGCATATCAACAGAAATTACAAAAAAACGGAGCTTAATTCCGAAAAATGGATCGAATCGAGTGATAAATCAGTCAAAAACATGTTACCGAGTTCGAATTTGATGAAACAAACTTCAGATTCAGATTCAGGACGTCAACAAAACCCAAAATATGACTCTTAAATTTAATCTCACAAACTTGGTTTCTAACTTCCATCTTTTTCTCATGAACACGGACCATCCACCGTACAAATACGACTTCAAATAATTTTCCTTTCCATAAAAATAAATTATTAGAATCTAATTAATAATTTGGGGACTCAATTTGCAAAACTAAAAACTTGAAGAGCCAATAATATTTAATTACTAACACCATGGACTAAATTATTCTTATTTAAACCATTATGCCATAATCATAATAATACGAAAGCTAAAAGACAAGATTAAGTTTTTTTTTAACAAACTTGGATGACTAACCTAGTAATTTCGCCTTCCTCATTTTATCACATACTCAAACTGAAACCAATGGAATGCAAGAATACCTCCCCAGTATACCAATTTCCGATGGCTCAAAGCACCGACTCAAATGAGCTAATAATCGATCCTCGACGATGCCGTTTGATACGTTGACTTTCAACAAAGGTTTTAGCCTCTCATCGGTTCAACAATCGCCGATTAATTGCATATCTAAAGCTTGTAACCATTGAAGAACCCTATCATCTCTATCGCTCTGTTGAAGCAACAAATCCACATTATTTTTATCAACGAATATGTCCGTCAATCCTTCCGCGAGTCTGATTCAATTCCTTATCTCACCGTTTTGTCTCGTGCCTGATCCAGATCCAACGCCACACGAGGTCTGAACAACACCTTCCTTTCATTCTTTTGATATGTTTCTTGATCTCTTGAGCACAAGCTTCACCGTCCATGTAAACTTTCAAGATAACCTCTTGAGGTTATTGAGCAGATTCTCCTTTAGATTCATCTCCTTTCTTTGCATCTTCTTCAACCTTTTTCTGCTCCATGGTCCTGAAGAAGATTAAAGAGATTGACGAGGCTTATCTTGGGTCAACTATTAAAACGTTCGTTACTGTTCCAGCTTACGCATGACTTCAGCACTGCTCGTGAAATCGACGAACTCGGCTCGGTGATTGCTTAACAGCTCGGACCCTCTCTAGACCACTAACTGAAGGTTTTTTTCGGTGTTTTTGTCGATGTTAACAGCCCATATTAGCTTTTTCCTTCATATAAAATTCTGCTTTGATGTCCTGTTGTGAAATCCGCTCACTTCCACCACATCCCCTAGTCGATATCGGTATAGCCCAGTAAAAGTAGTGAGGTCAATCTAATATTCTTGTCTAACCTTGACTTGTGACAGTAGAACAGGTTCATCTTCAATGAAATCAATGCTGCCCAAACTCGAATCTTGATTCAGGTAGTAAAGAAGGATCCAAGTTAACCTCGATGAAGTTGTTCCTTATGAAGCTGCTGTACAGGCTGGAATTTTGAGTGGTGAGGGTAACGATAAGGTTCCAGACAATGTCATTATTATTAATCTAATCCACCCAATAACTTGTCCTCTTTTACCTACTTTATCCTCATCAATTTGTTTAATAATATAAAGATATGATAAAATAATTATTTGCCAACTAACTTCATATCATTTCACATATTTAAACTTAAAGAAATCTAACCCCATATTGGGGTGTGACAATGAAGTTATTTATATCACATAATTACCCTCTACCCAAACACCATATGTAGTCCCATGATTTACCCAAGGGAGTTCCTTAGGGCCTTAAAGCCTACCGAAGGTCACCTTAGGTCCGTATGGAATTATCAGCTTGATCAGTGTTGAACCTTCATACTCCAGCCCACCCAGATAACGTCTCAATAAAACAATTCAAGTAGTAACCAGTAGATCCCATGATCCATAAATCAGGAACAATTATATTTTCCAGTGAAAACATGTAATCAGAGAACACATATCATGTAACTATAGTTTATTAATAGTAAATCAACATTAATAAATCCGTAATTTCAGAAAATCAAGTTTTAAAACATGTAAAATAATTACATGTCACATAGGGAACACACTAGAGGATCCAATTACTCTTCGGGGATACTTGGTATTTATCAGGTAGGGAACCATGAAACTTTTGTAATTTAATAGGATTTCAGAATTAATATCCCTATAAAAGGGGTTTGATAGCTAATGGATTCATCAGTCCTTCGAAAAGTGATTTATCAATATCATATAATATTCGAATATTTTCAAAGACACTTAGTAATCAAGAAAGTATTCAGAATCTTTTGCCTCAAAGTTACTTAAGATTTCAAATGACAGGAATGATTCCATTATTTAGGAAATCAAGGGAATTTTAGACATTTGGTTATAGGATAACTTTTTAGTAATTTATTCTAATAAGAGTGAAATGATGATTCATGGTATTTAAGATTTATGTTGATTTATCAGGATATAGAGTCAACTCAAACTGAACAAATCCTAGCACTATAATCCTTATCAACCAGTCAAATCGATGCACTTCAAGGATAGTCACACTTTGATACTGACGTCACTAGCCAAACTGATCGTCTTCAAATCATCGTGGAATAGATCTTAGGGAGACGAGCATGTATTCCAATGGTATTTATTTCATTTTTATATTACAACGGTATCAAGAAATGTCAACGTGCTTGATTCGTGGTTCAAAACCCTTATGGACGGTATAACATATAAGTTCATTAGTGTTTCCAGACTTATCCAAGTCATCCACTAAATTCTAGGTTATAGAGGGTACTTTGGTTATTTAGTATTCAAGTTTATCGCAGTCTTTTCAGAGTTTCCTGAGTAATTCGATCGTTTTAACGATTCGGATAAGTATAGTACTTTCATTCAGTTCAACTTTGTCATATAACATAGTCATTTCGAGAAATTCAGACGTGTAAAGTACCTTCGATAATTTAGTCTCTGGGTGTTTGCCTAGGAAATAAAAATTCTAGGTCATGTTGGTATTCGAGGTTGATTTATTCACTTTAGAGCTTGAAGGTATTTAGTCATTATAGGGCTTGGAGGTACTTTGGGCCATTTTACACTTAAGGGGCATTTTGATCATTTTACTGTTCAAGGGTATCATGTCATTTTCTTCAATTTAATCGTATGAATCATTCTAGTAATTTATTTATCAAGTGGTTTTATCCAAAAACCAAAAATTCTAAATTTTTTGTCATCTTGGAGGTTAAAAATCAGTTATCCAGGATTTTCTAAGCAAAAATAGCATTTTCCATGTACATCAGTAGTTTCATCGGATCAATATGTCTTTTCGAAGTTATTTGTCCACTTCCAGGGATAATTCTTTTATTTTTACATCATAAGGGTATTTTCATAATTTTACCCCATAAAGGTATTTTTTGAAATTTTACCTAAAATAAGTATTTTCATAATTTCTCATCCAAGTACCTTTGACATTTAACCTTTAAAGAGACAAATCAAAATTTACAGATCTTGAAGTTGATTGCTTCACCACTTAATCACAGAACCTGTAATTTAATTCTCATCGGTCTTCCAATTTATTGTACGAGTCATCTGAGTCATATTCAGTTTACCAACTTTACACCATATATGATTCGAGTCCAGTAATAATTAACTATATGTAAATTATCAATAAATTTATTCATGCAACCCATATCAACATGTTCCTTAAAGCATGAAATAAGGTAGTAATGTATTACCTCGATTTTTGTGATCCACCGATTGAACATTTAAACTCCATTCGATCACTATCGAACTTGAATCCAACGTCCAATAATATCTTAAGATACATATAAACAAAAATTACATTATAAACGGACCTTAATGCGGAAAATAGATCGAATCGAAAGGTAATTTGCTGAAAAACAACTTACTGGGTTTTAAATTGAGGAAACAAACTTCGGATTCAAACTCAGGACGTCGAAAAACATAAAATATGAGTTTTCAAAAACTTTGACTTTTTGGTCAAAGTCAACGAGTTGACTCAGTCTAGGTTGACTCGGTTTAGACCTGTTTGATTAGATCAGTTTGTTTGACTGGACTGGATCCAGAAGACTCCTAGACCGGTAAAGGAGGCCCACGCGCACTGCAAGTGTGTGGCAACGCGTGTGACGATGACGAGACTTGTTTTGAACGGCTGATTCTCCCCTGAGAAACTATACACTTAAAAATCCACATCAACCATTTAACCAACCCAAAACAACTTAAATCAATCAGAAATATTCAAAACGTACCCCTAAAATGGCGATCAATGATGGGATGATATTCATGTGTTCATACATGTCGTTAATCAAGAAGTGAATCTAGAACCTCAACAAGATAATATTGAATAACTCTCCATTTAAGATGAGAAATTGTTACGGAAGAATAAACTCAATAACATCAAAGAACAAGTATATTAGTAAGATCCACGATATGAGAGAAATATTATTTTAGATTATTATGTTTCTATTTGAAATAAGGATGACAATGGAATGATAGAGGCTGATCTAATCAAATTTCGTCATGTCATAAAAGTTTTGATTCTAAAAAATGGACTAATGTAATGTAAGAAAAGTATAAGGTTTATATAAGATAATAAAGTTTGAGAACTTGTCTCATTACCTGAAGGTGCAAAATTAATTGGATGCAAATGGATATTTAAAACCAAAATGGATCCAAAAGGTGATGTAGACAGGTATAAAACATTTCTTGTATCTAAAAGATGAACTCATTAAGAAGACAATGATTTTGTAGAGACTTTCTCTTTGGTTTCATTGAAAGACTTTAAGGATAATTATGATACTTGTTGCTCATATTTGATTTTGAGTTACATAAGTTGGTGAAATACTTTATACGGTGTAGAAAATTGTGTCTGATGATATAAAATTAATGATATGCAAATTAAGGAAATCCATTTATGAGTTTAAGTATGACTCCCGTTAATTGTATAACAAATTTTACCAAGTGATTATCTCGTTTGGTTTTGAGATAAATTTGGTTGATAATTGTATATACTATAACTTCAGTGAGAGTAAAACAAATAATACCCCTTATTGCTAAAGGAAACAAGCTTAATCTTGATCAGTGCCCTAAGGATGATTTTGAAACTAAGGAAATTCAAAAAGGTTCCTTATGCTTCAAAATAAATAACGAATTTAGTGTATACTCAAGTTTATATGCATTCGGATATAGCGTATGTTTGTAGGATATTAAGCATATATTTAAGCAATTTGTGTATGGATTGTTGGAGAGCAACCAAATTGATTCATACAATACATTTAAGAAAAAAAATGTTACAATATCACATATCGGAGGTCTAGTAAATAAGAGATCATCAAATTTATAGACTCCAATTTATTGAATTATGGATGCAAAATTTTGTCACATAAACTGCTAATTATTGATTGATAAGAAAAACCACTTGAGTTATTTTGTGACAACTAAGTTATAGTCCTTTATTTCATATATATAACATAAAAGCCTTAAAGTCTAAGCACTTAGACATTATGTTTCTAGTTGTTAAAGAAAATTCAGAGTGTTTATGTGTTTATAGAACATATTGGTACAAACTCAAAATTGCACGCTTACTAAGAAATTGTCACCCAAGGTCTTTCCTAAGCACACTACTCATGTGGGTGTAATATCATTTAAGGATATTCGGTTTTAGTGGGAGTTTGTATCTAATGCTTGTTTATTATAAACACAATTTCAGTTACTTTAGTTTAAAGATATTTATTTTAAGATTATTTTCTGAAGAAATAAAGTTAATTTTAGTTTATCCGCACTCTTTTTTTGGTAAAATTTGATCTCACTAATGTTTAAAGAGGACCAGCTGGAAATGGACATGTACGATTCACATTGCATGTAATTTCCATGCTACACTCCATATTTGATCTATGTCATTTGATTGTGCTTGTATACGTGATCATTGTCTAGTCATGATTGATATGACAAAGGCTACTTTGATCCTATATGGATATAGTTGATGGACGAGATTGTTATAGAATACTTATTATATGATAGCAAATTTTGAGCTCTTAAGGTTGTACATTTGTCAGGAAACATATGTTGCCCTACTAGGAGATAATTGGAGTAAAATCCATTTTTGTGGGCACATATGTATAATGTACAATGTTATCATAAAGTATGACACAAAGTGACCAATTATGTTACATGTGTTATATGTACTAAAGTGTCATGAAATCAAAGTGTAGATACCATAAGTTGAACTTATAATTTGATGAGGGACAAAATTATAAATACTTAAAAGATTAACCTAATATTCAATCTATATAAAGAGGTAGTGGTCCCCAAGAAATAAGTTAACATGTATTACTCTTATCCCGTCATAGAGTATTTACGCAAGAGGACACCTATTTTCTTAGAAAATCACAATCAAAGAAAGATTCAAATATTTCAATCTATCAATTAATTCAGTACGCTTTTGCATCTAGTATTTATTTTATTCTTGATGATTTGACATTATGAGATCTTGGTTATTTTTGTAATTTAATATGATTTAGTTTTAACATATTCTCATATTGACTGGCAATTCCATCGTTGTTAGTATTGCTCTGAACAACATCATTGTTCTCATTTTGACTTGCATTTTCATTGTTGTTGCTGTCGTTGTAACTCTGAGGAGCATTATTCTCATTTTGACATGTGTTTTCATTGTTTTTGGTGCAGGTCTGAGCAGCATTTTCATTTACATTCGAATCGTGGTCCTTTTGAGTAACCTTTGAAATTTTATTTTCATTGTTGTCAGTGTTGCTCAGAGTGGCATTGTTCTCGTTTTGACCTGCATTTTCATTGTTTTCGGTGAGCAAGTTGGGTCATCGTTGGCTCTTCGGCTGGGCCGCCATTTGTTTGTTGAATTGAAAATTACAGCAAAGAAGATGATGTTGGATGAAATGTGTGAGAGAGACAATATATAGAATAAATAATAAATTTTGCAAGAGAGAATCAAGTTTCAGACTTGATTTGGTGGTAATGTAAAGAGGCTCTAATCCTAGGAAGAGGTAGGACGGCAAGAGCAAAAATATCTTCTTGGAAGATCACAATCAAAGAAATATTCAATGATTTCAACATATAAGTTAATTCAGGTACGTTTTCGCATCTAGTATTTATTTTATTATTGATGGTTTGACATTATGAGATCATGGTTATTTTCATAATTTAATATGATTTAATTCTAACATATTATCATTTTGACTTGCATTTCCATCGTTGTTGGTATTGCTCTGAACAACATCATTGTTCTCATTTTGACTTGCATTTTCATTGTTGTTGCTGTCGTTATAACTCTGAGGAGCATTATTCTCATTTTGACCTGTGTTTTCATTGTTTTTGGTGCAGGTCTGAGCAGAATTTTCATTTACACTCGAATCGTGGTCCTTTTGAGTAACCTCTGAAGTTTCATTTTCATTGTTGTCAGTGTAGCTCTGAGTGGCATTGTTCTCGTTTTGACCTGCATTTTCATTGTTTTCGGTGAGCAAGTTGGGTCATCGTTAGCTCTTCGGCTGGGCCGCCATTTGTTTGTTGAATTTTTTGCGTTGAAAATTACAACAAAGAAGATGATGTTGGATGAAATGTGTGAGAGAGACAATATATTAAAAATATTATATATTATTACTTTAAAAGAATTTTAGATTTTGCTGGCGTAGCATTTTTCATGTCATTAACTTTGTATATGTGGCACTATCACATTAGTGTGTGATATTATGTAAGTTTGTCATGTTATCTTCATGTTGGTTGAATAACGATTTTTCATCTAATGATGGGATCTTTTGACCCCAAATGAAATAGTGAGGGTAATATGCTCAAAAAAAATTGGAATCAAATTGACACTATTATCGAATGTTATGGGTGTTTTGTCGCATTATGTCTTTTATATAATACCCACATTCATTTTTATTTATTTATTCTTTTTTAGTTGAATTTAAGGCGTGTTTCTAACAAAATAATAAAAATAACGTGTTTGACAGAATTTAATCATTTTTCTTTGGTTTATTAATATAATAATAAATTAATTATTCAGAATAATGAAATATATTTTCATTATATAGAGGCCTATTTTTTGAGTTTTCATTCATGGTCTTGAAAATGTCTGAGACAACTCTAAGTTTGATGGGCTAATACTGAGTTTAGTTAAGTAAGAATTAGGATCAATTCATGTTAAAAAAGGATTTTGTATAAGGGTCAAATGTGAGAGCACTTATGCGGGCAATTTGTCCATTCACAAACTTTTTTTTAATTAATCAATGGTATCCGATTTATTGACCGATTAATTCAGATCGAGTATTGTAAAGACGAGGGCGAACCACCCAACTCAGTTTGTTTTATTCGTAAATGTCAGGATTCGAACCTCTGATCTTACTTAAGGGACCTAGTACCTCATCTTTCTAAACCAATTAGTTGTTGGTTCACAACATATTAATTTATTCTTGTTTTTTACGTTGGATAAAAGAAAAGCTCAAGAGAGGTTATTAGTGTCTTCCCTTCTAGCTTTCTCTCCCACTTCATTTACCCCTCTTTCTCCCAAAACTTAGAGCATGGTAGTCAAATAATCTAACTTTCTAGAGAGATACAATCATCCATGTTTAAAAAGAACAAGAATCATCATCCTTGTATCGTCGAGAAAATCTGCATAAAAACTAGTTCTAAGGTATCCATACGTTATTTTGAATGTTTTAATGGAATCTTTGATATTTGACTTCAAATCATGTTACTTACGAACCAATCAACGAGTTGAATCAGGGATTCAAATTATGGTCGCGATTGCGTTTTCGGAGGGAACCATTACCGTTGTATCGCGAGCATAGCGGGCGCTATTGCGGTGATTGCGGGTGTCTCAGACAAATAATAGTGTTTTCAGAGGGTATCGCTAACGTTATATCGCGGGCGCTATCGTGTTCGCGGACCGCTATTTAAATCCACGTTGAATGTTAAATATTAGATTGCATTTCATACCGACTTTGTTTCCCGCAATGAACGGGCTAATGAACAAAGATACTCTCTTTTCTTCAACCCCAAGTTTGACTTTAATCATTGAACTGCACGTAGCTATCAGTCCCACCTTGATCATTAAGTCAACACGTCAATCTTAAACGTGCACGACGCGCTGGACTGATGAATGGTTAGGGAATTCAAAATGAAAAAGAAAGAAAGAAAGCAAAATCATGGCGTTTTTCATGTAGGAACTTTTGATAGATGAAGAAAATGAGTGCCTTTTGATACCCCTTTGGGGCCCTTGTAAAAGCATGCTTAATCAATTTGTTGAAAAAGAATCATCCCATTCAACAGTGCGTTTCAGTACTGATTTATCTGTTTTCATGTCGAATGTTTCTTTTGCCTCCAAATAATTTAACATGAGCTTCATTTTCTTCTCTTTGGTTTTTTTCAGCTTGTACATATTCTCTTGTGTTCATGGCTTGGACAGATCTTCCAATTGTTCGCTGGATACATTTCTTCAGGATTTTGCTTTCAGAGCACTGGTTATTACACACAGGCCTCACACTGGTGCTTTGTACAAAGCTAATCTTCCTACTGATCTCTCCGGCATGGAAGTTTCCATCGCTCGAATCCGAAGCCGGACGTTGTGGAAGCAAGGGGCTAATCTGAGTAGCTTTCGCATCCCGTCGCAGACCGTTCCCGTTCCTCGGGTCCGGCGGCTCGCAATCGTCTACGAGAACCTCGGGAATCGGTCTTCTCAGTACTACAGTATTTCAGGTTACTCGCTGATCACTCCTGTCGTCGGTTTCATGGTTTTTGATGCTTCGAATGCTAGAGCCACTAGGCTAAGAAGTATCGGCATCGACACGATGGGGAAGCCTATATCAATCCATTTTTCCAAAGCGAAGTACTCGGCTTCCGCACGATGTGCGACTTTCAGCAGCAATGGGACAGTTGATTTCAGTCGCATAATGCTTCCCAATGTGTGTTACACTTCAAGTCAGGGCCATTTCTCTGTTGTTGTTCCATTGCAGAGGAAACAAAGGCCATCATATCCATGGGTGATAGGTGTTGTGCTTGGCTTTTGTGCACTGATTTTGGTAGGCTACTTCGGCTTCGTATCGATTAAGCTTTTGAAGACGAAACGGGTTCAGGCGATGGAAAGACAAGCTGATGAAGGTGAAATTCTCAATAACAGATGGGTGAGTTGCAGTAAAATGCCATCTGCAGCAGTAACTAGAACTCAACCAGTCCTTGAGAATGGAGGTTTTCCATAGCAATTTCATTTGTTATTTTTTAGTATATCTTCTTTTCTTTTCTTCTTTGTTCTTTGGCCTCGGAGATTATGTGGATCAAAATAACTAAATTTCTTTTAACTGTCTACATAAAACTAAATTCATGTTTAAAACTGGTCGAACAAAACTTTATTACCAATCTACTATAGATGTACCATATATTATGAGGAGGAACGAGACCAGTATTCTTGGACCAACTGTCCGAACAACGATCCCTCCTTATTCATCAGCTTCATCGGCTCATCGAACTCCACCAATTTCCCTGTTGATTTAAGAACAAATCACACATCTTGATTCGAACAATAACAGTCGAAAACGATGAACTATTTGTATATCAATTTATCTTCTCACCATCACTAAGGCCAAGCACCATATCGCAGTCCATCACAGTTGGTATTCGGTGAGCTACGGTTATCACGGTGCAGTCATCGAATTCTGTTCTTATTGTTTTCTGGATGATTGAGTCGGTTGCATTGTCGATCGATGCGGTTGCTTCATCAAGCACTAGGATCCTGCTTCTCTTCAGCAATGCTCGTCCGAGGCAGAATAATTGACGTTGCCCTGTGCTCCAGTTTGATCCATCTTGTACAACTGTATTATTTGTGTGTGTGTGTTAATGGAAGCAAATGCAGAGCTTCAATGAGAAAAAACAATTCTGAAATCTTTGTTTTTCTTACCAATTGAGTTCAGGCCGCCTTCTTTCGCTTGTACCGCCTCTCGGAGTTGACACTTTTCAAGAACCTTAACAACATCCAATGGTTAGAAGTACATCTTGTCAGCTAAATTACAAGATTAGTTATTGGAGTATAATATGGTAGAAATTAAACCATACCTCCCATATTTCACTATCACTATGCTGCTCTAAAGGGTCTATATTGTATCTAACAGATCCACCAAAAAGAGTTGGATCTTGAGGGATGATCCCCAAATGTGATCTCAAATCATGTAGCCCGATTTCACAGATGTTAACGTTATCAATGACGATTTCTCCATCCTCGGGCTCTACCAGGCGGAAGAAAGCGCTGATAAAAGTTGTCTTTCCGCTACCGGTCCGGCCAACAATCCCAATCTTACTTCCTCCTTCGAATATGCAGCTGATGCCATGAAGAACTAGCGGAGCATTAGGCCGATATCGAACCTGCTCAATGAATTTGATGTTTCACCATGCATTCCCTGCAAAACGTATAACTCAACAGATGGAGAACATTTTGATTATACCTTCAAATTTCGAATATCGACTTTGCCAACACAAGGCCAGTTGTGTGGAGGCCGGTTTGCTTCAATTACTTCGGGAGCTTCACTAGGAATATGCATGTATTGTTCTAGCCTTTCCACGGAGACAACGTCATTTGATAGAAAACCCTGATATTTCACAGAAAGTACTAGGAATACATTTAACGAAAGGCCATATGACAGTGCCATTCCAATTAATCCTGCCATTGAAATTCATAAACAAAACATGGTTTGAGAATAATTCACGTATCAAGTATTATCAGGGAATTAAACTCAGCTTGAACAAACCAGATGCAGATGATCCAAGAGGAATCAAAGTCATCGAAAGGGCCGAGAACGAAAGAACAATGGCACACAATATCTCCAACCTTTGGATCAACCACTCGTTTGCAGAAAAATTATAAAAGTCTGGACTTGCATTGGCATCAATCAGGTTCATATTCTTTAGAAAGAACAAGTCTTCCACTCCGAAAGCTCGGATTGTCATGGATCCAGCAATGGATTCAGCGAGTTGGCTGGCAACCGAAGACTTTGTCGTACCATTGATTCGCATCAATTCCTTTGCAGAAGCATAGTAGTGTCTCTAATTGTTTCGAAAAAGTAGAAAAGATTAAGAACTCATTAAAGGAAATAGAATCTATGATAATAAACAAAAACTTGGTTCTTGCATATAGGTAAGACCTGTAAAAGTATAGTAAGATAAATCATGGGAATGATGACAAATGCAACTGGCCAGGCCAGCACGGCCAATACACAAAAGCTGAAGTATGTATTCATGGTTGTTCCAACTGTGATTGATAACTTGAAAGCCATTTCGAGGTCGATGGTGCTTAAATCCGAAGACACCTGTTAAAGTAAAATCGAAACCGAGACAGTAAGTTCATGGAGAAAGGATTTGTTCATGGAATGAAATTAGAACTTGAAGCTGTGCTTTTGAGAAAACTTACCCGACTCAGTATCCTTCCCACAGGTGTTGAGTCGTAAAACGACATTGGAGCTCTAAAAAATGACATCAACAGTGTTGAAAATATAGATTCTGAAGCTCCACATCCAAGAAGAACTACATAAACTGATCTGAGGAGCAAAAAGATTGCTAAAGAGCATCCAATCACAGTGAAAACCGTGAGTAATTCCCTTTTACTCACTTGAGAACTTTGGATCTCAGATGCTAACCAGTAGCTTTGAATTGCCTGTCCTATTATGAATACCACATGGAACAAAATTGCCAAGGTGAAATATAGAAAGCCCTTGTGGTGTCTCAAATACTGCAAGTAAGGCTTGAAACCTGTATCTCCTGTTTCTCTTTCTTCTTGCTTAATTAGTTGTTCTCCATTAGCCATTATTGGCTCTTCCTTCACATGTACATTCTCGATCACTTCTTTGGATGCCATCGTTCTCCCGTTAGAAGAACTCGAAATGTCCATTTCGTATCCAACCGTGTTATTGTGAGCGTTTACAAGGTCCTGGAATTTTCGGCTTGAAGCTAGCAGCTGATCATAAGTACCAGCCTCTACAATTTCCCCAGCAAACATCAACTATCATAAAAATAAAAACGAAAAAGAAATTATCAACAGATCATATTCATATCGTATTCGATATTATCGACTCGTTTAACATGATTGCAATAGCAGCAGTATCCAGCTTACCAAGACGGAATCAAAAGCCAGAAGGAAGTCTACTTGATGGGTCACAAGTAAGACAGTTTTAGCAGACAAAGCTCTCATCACATATTCCTGCATAAAACAGCAGAGTGCATGATTTAAGCATGTGTATATATATACGTATATAAGAAAACAAGTTATGTATTCACATTAAAAAGACTTGTTGCGGTTTGAGCATCTACAGCACTGAAAGGATCATCCAGAAAATAGACATCTGCATTCCGATACAATGCACGAGCAAGTTGAATTCTTTGCTTTTGTCCACCGCTGAGATTGGCTCCTCTTTCTCCTATTTCAGTAAGGTCACCAAAGGGAAGTATCTCCAGATCTTTTACTAAGCAACACGTCTCGAGCACTTCCCGATACCAGACAGGATCCATCACAGAGCCAAAAAGAATGTTTTCTTGGATACTTCCTTTCTGGATCCATGCTGTCTGAGAAACATATGCCATCTTCCCATGTACATGAACCTGATGATCCAAAAGTTGAAAAGATTAGTGTGTGAAAAATATCACGATGAGGAAATTGAGAGTTCATCACTTACTGTGCCATTGCATTTTGGAACTTCTCCGAGAGCCGCGGCTAAAAGAGTTGATTTTCCTGAACCAACTTCTCCACAAATGGCAATCTTTTCTCCTGGTTTAACCACCAAATCTATGTCCTTTATGGTAGGTTTCGATGAAGGATTAATATCCCAAGAGATTTCATTACACTTTATGAGAATGGAGATATCAAAATTTTTGTCATCACAACAGTTTTGCTCCGACTTTCTGTTTCCCAACTCTGGCGCCTCAAGGAAGCCCACAATCCTATCTAGTGACACCTTTGCCCCAATGAACGCTTGAACGATATCGGGTATAACCCTAACCGGCTCCTGAATGATGCGAATGCTCGCCAAAAATGTGAAGACATTGCCGGCATTGAGGGAAACCCCTAACAAGTAGCAAGTCCAGAAAGTAACAGCGGGCACTATAATTGGAGAACACCAAAACAAAACTAGCAGGTACCCTTTCTGTGACAGAATCCCCAATATCGATTTGAATTCATCCGTCCTTAAACTCTCGATAACGTTCTTGAAATGCGTCTCCCAAGCATGTAACTTCAACACCTTCATATTCGTGAGCGCCTCCGTGATCGCTTCAAGCCTCTTATCTTGTGCCGACATGATTTTCTTGTAATACTTGAGCTGTGATTTGGTTAGTGGATAACTTGAAACCACGATCGATATTATTGCAGCTAACGCAGCAAAAGTTTCCAGTTCCACGGAAGAGTATACGATGAATAACGCTAGACAAAACTGAAGGATCGTCGCCCATATCTGATGAAACCAATAAGGAAACTCGCCGATTCTATAGGCGTCAACCGTGACATAACTCACTATCTCACCAGGAGAATGAGTCATTGTAGCAGCATTTGATAGCTGCAGTTGCTTTCGATATATTGCAGCAGATAGCATAGACCTAAGTTGAAGGCCAACCATTCTTGTTATAAAGAACCATTGCCTCTCAGATAAGGACTCCAAGCATTTTGCTATGAGCAGGCCAAGAGTAAGTACATATGCTCATACTTAAAAGCTTCTTTACCTTGAACAGTTGCAATAAAAGCCCTAAGAAACAGTGGACCTGTAGAGAGTGTGAGAACCTTGATCAATGCAAAGATCCCAGAAGTTAACATAGCTTTCCAGTGAGAATATACAATTATCCACACAGTAGAAGTTGAAACACTTGATTTCCTTCGTTTCTGTTTGCTCAGTTGGTCGTTATACTTCAAGTAGCATGCTGTTGCACGACATGCCGGCTGCATAGCCGGAATATCTTTGTTCTCTAGAATTTTCTCCTTACCCTCATGCAGTAGAGGATTCAACCACCAAAAGAACATCTTACTTAAAACGCCAGCATTGGCAAAAGGAGTGATGTTATGGCTGAAACTGGTTTCATCATGTTCCTCACCCTGCAAAGGTGCATAGGAAGCATCTAAATCACCGATTTGATCAGTATCGTTCGAACCGTATCCTCTAAAGGCGCATGACAGAAATAAAATCGATCCGGGAAAAGACGAAACATCCAAAATGATCTTCAATGACGCTGTATTGTCCGCAATCGCCTCAAGTAGGGATGAAATGCAGAGGAAGACTGCATACAAGAAGGCAAATGTCGAACAAGATTTCACAGCTATCAGATAATTTAGCTGCTTCATGCTTACAAATACAGCTAAAACCAGCCATGAAAATCCTTGAAACAGCAGCACCAGCCATCCATCCATGGGGAAAACTGTACCATCCATGTCGAGTTTCTGGAAAATGGTCCATAACCCCAAGGCCAAATAGGTAACACTCAAGATTCCATTATAAATTGCTGAGAGGATTGAGACTAAAGAGATGCTTTGTGACTGAGAATTTGTATTGATCTTTCTTGAGGTCAATTTACAAACAATGATGAGCAAGGCCACAAAGAGAAGAAGCACATCAACAGAAATGGTGAAAGCATGGTTGAGACATGAATATGGATTGAGAATTGCGGAAAAACCATAATTGCATGTCTTCCCAGTTTCATTTGAACAGCTGAAGTTGTTACAGAACAGAATGCATGCACTTTCTCCCATCTTGTCATCAACTCTTCTGTTCTGCAGCACCTCAAATCATCAGATTAATCTAAAGTTTTCAATGGCAATTTTTCAATGTATTTTCAGATTCATGATGATGATGATGAGAATGTTTATACTGCAGAGTGAAGGGAAATTTAACATGTATCATCTAAAACAAACAAACAAGAAACATAGGTTAGCAACAAAGTAACAATTAAACTTTGAAAAGATTGATCCTACTGAAATGATAGTCTTACTAACCTGGAGAGTGATGAAGTATCGATTATGTAACAAGAGAATGATCCTTAGACCTATGCATACTTATCTCTCTTTACATATTTACCAACTATACCAACATCCATACTTTTTTTAGCTTCTAGTGTACGTAGGGATGAACAGAGGGATGTTGGGGTACAGTCGTATTTTATCAAAAAAAGAATTTTTTTTTGTATAAATTTAGATGAATACAAAGTAGTATCTATTTGAAAAGTTTTAATCATTTGACAATGAAAGCTCATATTCCTGCATAAGTGATGTTCAAACTCAGACCTCAAGAGATCTCATACATTTTAGGTAATTTTTTGCAATTTTTTTTATTGATGATCTAATTTTACTCTTGAAATTTAAATTTTGCATGCCTAAACTTTAATATAAATTTTTAAATTCATACCATGATATACAATTTTATAATTTTAATATACTCCTGAAGGCATGTACTAATATAGTATAGAATCGTGGAAATAAAGCAAATAACATAAACAAACAAATATGTGAGGTTAGTAATCCTGGGACAGTCACTCATGTTGTGTGTCTTTATTCTCTGTTGACAATGAAATCACGAGAATTTGATTTTTCGACAAAGTGCGGTCTGACAATTATTGGTTTGAATAGAGGTAAATATATTTAATTTTGATAGGGATTAGATTATAAATTTACATAAAGTATAGGGATTGGAAATCATTTTAATCAATAATTTAAGCTCCTGCATTCACTTTTAGAATAATCTTGAAAGAAACGAGTCCAGATTAAAAAAGGATCGAGTTATAAAGTTCGCTTCAGAGATTGAATTATAAAATTCCACTAAAATTTTAGAATATTGAACTAGGGATTAAAATAGCGGTTGTAGTCACGTTTTTGATCGCGTCATGTTTGTCGCGATTGCAGGCATAGCGGGCACTATTATAAAGATTGTGGGTATCGCAACCATATAATAACAGTCACAGAGAACATCACTACTGATATATCACAGACACTATCACGGTCGTGAACCACTATTTAAATACCCGAGTTTAACAAAACATGCATGTTATTTGAACTTGAATAAATGCAAAAGTTTAATATTAAAGTTTTCACATGCTTAAACTTCACCTAATACATAATCATGGCTCATACCAAACTATTAAAGAAAATTCACAAGTAAAGACTACTTTACATTAACTTTTAATTAAGAAAATAAAACATTTAAAAATATTTAGTGTAAAGTACACAAGTAATCTCTTGATTATTAAAAGTTAAGGAATGATCATTCAATTTATTGGACGTTGCTTTATTAAGTTCTTCGACTATTAAAAGTTATAAAATAGTCATCTGACTATTCATATGTTTTAAACACATCTTTTTTTGATAAAAAAATTAACGGGACTTTAATATATTAACTAAGATATGATAGTCATTTGAGATTCTAAGATCAGATTTTATCATATATTACTATTAGTCAGTATGTTAACATCCAACTTAAATTATCATCAATTTTTTAACCGAAAAAAATATGAGTTTAGGGCTGAAACTCTTTCAACTTCGTATCCTCCTCCTAATAACTAAATATTTCTTTCTTTTTCAATATTTCAAGAATATGACTAATTCAAAAAATATGATTTTTTTTCCTCACGTACGAATGAATGGAGACCAGACGAAACTCTTGTATTTTATTATGTTATATTTATCTCATTCAAGGGTCGAATTAGAAATTTTTTGTAGCAGGGTTAAAAATATTTTTTGTTTTTTTATAAATATATTTTATTTAATTGAGAGAAAACTGATAAATTTTTCTCTATTTATATTTTAAAAATATATTTTTTAATATTAATTAATACTTAAAAAAATAATTAACGGAGCCAAGGCTCCTTTGACCCTATGAAATTCCGCTCACGGTGTCATTGTTTTTCACCTAATAAAGCTTAAAACCATATATATATATATATATATCACAATTTTTCTAATATTTGGCTTTTTTTATGAATCATACTTGCACGAGAATCAATTTTTCCATAAAGATTCATACTTATTCCAACATTTGATAAAAATAGCATTGTTTATGTAGGGATGGATCAAAGTAGGTTGACGGGAGTCATTGGCCTTCTAAAAAATTTAAATTTTTATATATTTGAAATATTTATTAATATTTTTATCTTATAAAATTTTATAAATGATACTCTTTAATATAAAATTGTGTCTCTGTTCCTAGGTGATATAAGATCCATACCTATGAAAGGAGCATTGGAGATAGTGAAAATCAAATTGTCAACAAGTCAACGAAGCTTTACTTTAAGAAAGGCTATAATATTACATACAATAAATATGAAAATTTTGCCTCCACTCACTAGAAAGAGTGGATTTCAAGCTTTTTAATCACAAAATAATTCATATAGATTCATCTATTAAAAAATGGCATTTATTTTAGTCCAATAATACTATTAAAACTAATACCATAGTCAATATTTAATATTAAAATATCATATTAATCTAGAATCTAGTACCGAAATTTTTTGAGATGTTACATTATTCTCCTTCTTAAAGAAAATTTCCCTCAAATTTATCTTGAAAAAAAATAAAAGATCAAGATTTTTTTCTTTATATTATCTTCAGGTTCCGTGTTGTTCGTCTACTTTATGATTACTTCAAACAACTTTCAATGATACAATGTATTTACACTTATGCTTTTCGATTTGTGCTATTATTATTATTATTATTATTATTATTATTTATTTTTTTTATTTCTGTGGCAGACCAAATTACAAACCCAACCAGGCCAAAATTACAAAAGGCCAATTGGCCCAACCTAAAGCCCGAAATTATATTACAGCCCAATTACACAGGGACATTCACCCCGAACAACCTAGCAGGCCCAAATCAGTTAATGTTTAAAACTCTAGGTCCCTATTTTCCAGCCGCCGTTATCGCCATCAAGAACCGATGTCACCGTTGCCGACCGACAAGCCATCGTCGGAGCACGCCATCGTCGCCGGTCACCACACCTTCTCTATTTATCTATCAACCAAGTTAACCAAAAATTATTAAAAAAAATAAAAACAATCAAATATAATCCCATATCTGCTCCAACATGCTGCCACCAACTCCGTCAGATCCCAACTACTTCCTACCAACACTAATCAAACCAACATCATTTTTATTTTGTTTTCATATATGTAAAGGGGTTATAAAAACCCCAACAAATGAAAGTAAAAGCGGTTCCTTGTAATAACCATATCTCGTATACCTTTCCGTACACGAGATATAGAGGTCACATCATGTTATAAAACTTTTTTGTCATTTGAAAACCCATGCAAATTTGTTTTATTTTGATCAACTACAAAATATGATGTTTATAAAGGAAACATAATAAAACTATCACTTTAGTACATTACAAAATATTTACTATAGTTTAATTACATGCCAACTAAGTTCTCAAAATGAATAAGATTATTATAATGTTACTGGTGAGTTAACCTTTAAATGATGAAAGTTGCTGCAACAACTACACTCCTTACGCAACTAAACCTTGCCTTTACTTACGCGTGAAATAAACACACGTTAAGTAATTACTTAGTGAGACATAATACTGCAACAATATTACAATTATACAATAGTATCTTATGAATACTGAATAAAGAATTTAATTTCGTCATTTATAAGGACCAGTTAAACCATTCTCAATTCAACCATAATTATTTCACACCATCATGGAAGTTATTCATATTATACCTATCCTACTTATCCTTTTGTATATTTTCCCCTTTATTCTTTATTTTCCTTGTATACTTTAAATGTGAAAGTACTATACATGTATTGCACGGAGGTGCTAATTAATCATGTATCTTTTATAATCATTAAGACAACACCTTAAATACTATTAATACACCGTTTTATATTTTCATTTGGGTATCCTTTCATGCCCATTATGTTCTGTGTATGTTTTCCTTTATAATATCCCTTCATACTAGTAAGGCATTTTTGTACCTTATATATATATATATATCATCCCTTCATATCACATTTCAATATCTTTATTCTTCTATCCTAAAGTATTTAGCTTTTCATTTAACTCGCATATTTGACATTTTTCTATCAAATGCAGAGTTAATCCATTATTCTTTTATTCAACAGAGTTTAACCTTTCGTTTTTACTCAACAGAGTTTAACCGTTCATCTAACTGGTATAATTGACATTTTTCTACCAATTGCACAGTTAGACCATTATTATTTTACTCAACGGTATTTAACTATTCATCTAACTGGCATAATTGGCATCTTTCTACCAATTGCACAGTTAGGCCATTATTTTTTTACTCAACGGTATTTCACCACATTTTTACCAATTGCATAATTAGGCCATTATTCTTTTACTCAACGGTATTTAACTGTTCATCTAACTGCATAATTGGCACCTTTCTACCAATTGCACAGTTAGGCCATTATTCTTTTACTCAACGATATTTAATCATTCATCTAACTGATATAATTGACATATTTATACCAATTGCACAGTTAGGCCATTATTCTTTTACTCAACGGTATTTAATCGTTCATTTAACTGGAATAATTGGCACCTCTCTACCAATTGCACGATTAGGCCTCAAAGGCACTTAGCCTTTCAACTAATTGGCATAAATGACACCTTTCTGTCATAAGCACAGTTAGGCCTCAAAGGCACCTAGCCTTTCATCTAACTAGCATAAATGACACATTTCTATCATAAGCACGATTAGGCCTCAAAGGCACTTAGCCTTTCATCTAACTGGCATAAATGACATCTTTCTGTCAAAAGCATAGTTAGGCCTATTAATCTTTTATTTTAGAGCAATCTCTACTATAATAATCATTTATAATATCAATTAACCCCTTTGAATCAATATACATTCTATGATTTATAACCATAATGCCAATCCAA